AAGTGGGTCTTTATGACACACGGGGATGGGGGCAGCCAGCGCCCAACCTGTCATCCACGTGGCTGGCCTTGTACGTAAGAGGTTATGAACAGGTGTAGCTTTCCTTACCTCTTCTTCTCCCCCTTTTTTTCTGTTCTCTTCTTTTCTTTTTCTTTTTTTCGCTTCTGCGCTCTGATTCACAGTGTGACAATATATACACACACAGAGGAGAGAGAGAGAGAGAGAGAGAGAGAGAGAGAGAGAGAGAGAGAGAGAGAGAGAGAGAGAGAGAGAGAGAGAGAGAGAGAGAGAGAGAGAGAGAGAGGGGGGGCGGGGGGTATTTCACATCATCCTGGACATTGGCTTCCTCTCCTTCTCTCTGGTCTTGCTTCACCTGCGTTTGTGTTGATCCCTCCCCCTAAAACGGATTCATATGTATCCACCATTCCCGAGGTACAATTACGGACACGAAGCTGCTTCGAAATATCATCAAGACATGAGCAAACAGATAGACGTACAGATAAACATACAGACAGGAAGACTTGCAGATGGGTGGACAAGTAGGAGGCCAACTCGCAGAAAGGAATACACACAAAGACAGACAGACAGACAGACAGACAGACAGACAGACAGACAGACAGCTCGAGAGACAAGCAGAGAGGGAAAGGCAGATAGCCGCTGTTGGGAATCCAACCCCGGGCTGTTTCGTCATTTGTGTGAACAATTGTAAGCACACATGTCGGACAGTAGTAAGATAAGTACTAGATGACAGTGTCACGGCTTCGCCTGCAAAGACAGAAAAGAGAAAAGCACAAAAGAAAGAAAAAAGCATAATGATATGCCCTATCATTCGGGTTCTTTCATAGTACGAAAAAGAACCCCTTGACAGCAGACAGAAAAATCCGCTCGCAATGTGTATTTTGACTTGCCGGTGGAATAGGAACCGGACTGATGCTCCCCAGAATAGAAGGAGCTAGGACCATAAGGCCCTGTTTTCTTTATAAAAAAAAAAAAAAAAAAAAAAGAGGGAATACCACCGAACCTTTTTTTTCCCCCCTGACCGTGGGTGTTTTGTTTGGGAAAAGCCATTACCCTCTCAGCATCGCGTTTTTTGTTTTGTGGTGTGTGAAATGACCCACAGAGTTTCAGTCTGAGATATTGGAACTTGTCTGAGTAAAAGCTCTGCCCCATTGTCCCGTTCATGTGAGAAAATGCTCTGCCCCATTGTCCCGTTCATGTGAGAAAATGCTCTGCTCCATTGTCCCGTTCATGTGAGAAAATGCTCTGCCCAATTGTAAGCACACACACATGTCGGGCAAGAAACTGAGACGAAGACTAGTACGACAAGTATCTCGGCACGCCAGTGAAGACATGGTCAGACAGATCGAGATGCAGATAACACACAGACAGGCAAGGACACGAAGACATAGGAAGAACAGAGGCCAAACAAGCCAAGAGAGAAAGAAACACACTGATGGGTAGAAATACAACAAAGAAATCGTTTATTTCGTTTTTATGTCTCTATTCTTTTTTTTTAAATGGCAAGAGTGCTGTTCCCCATCTTCCCATCTTCCCATAACCCCACATGCCACGTGGCACACACACACACACACACACAGACACACACAGACACACACACACACACACACACAGAGAGAGAGAGAGAGAGAGAGAGAGAGAGAGAGAGAGAGAGAGAGAGAGAGAGAGA